AGGACGTCATTCCAAAGAGTTGATCTCCTAAATGGATGAGCCGCTTCGCTCCGCTAAGCTTCTCGAGGTGATCGAATTTAACCAGAAGACACATGGTCCTAGAGTAAAGCATCCTCATGAGCTCCGTCATGTGTCATAGTCGGGCGTGTTTCTGCGACTCTTCGGTGTGGCTGGTCGCATCTCTTCCTCATTCACTAGACAAAATCATCAACACCCTATTGAGGATTTACTTTCACTCCAATGGCATTCCAGGGAAAGACCAGGAACTGCTATGATTCATATCAGAGGCATGCAAGAACGAACTCCACTAGAGGTACCTCAAAAAAACATCTCTTAACTCCGTAGGCTTCGGTCGAACCTATCAGCTCCGACTCCGAACCTTTCATGTTCTCCACCAAATAGCACCACTACGTAATCAAGAGCAGATTTTACTACGCGAAAGTTAGTTCAGGACAATAACGAATAACGGAAAATGGTTGCAACATAGTATACTTACCCTCCGCATAGTGCTTCCCGTCCTGCCGAGTCAGCGGCTTTGGGGTGGACAAGAAGATATCCCAACAACAAATTCTACTCGAGTACATATTAAAGTGAACCCCACGGAGGAACTGAACCGGCGCCAACTGCATATGAGCCTAACTGTCACGACACAATACATCAATACCATTTCATTTTCTCATCCTCTGACAGGAGAGGGCCCCTCCTAATATCGACTTCCAACAAACGTCATCACCACACACGCCATTGCCAAACAACCCTCACATTCCGTTGCTCGGCCGGCTCGCTCAATCTACAATGCACGAGGTAATGAGAAACACCACTTCGTCTTCTATCCCCGGAAGAAGCCTGTTGATATTAGAAATCTCAACAAGAGTTGTTAAGTTAACAATGTTAACAAGTACTTCTTAACTTCATGATCAATACAGTAAACATGAAGCCCACCTTAGGCTAGCAAAGAAGACAAGTAACACAATAATCTACAAACAGACACTCATGTGCAACATTCCCTCGCAAAATCTTTCACTGATTCCTTGAGCCCTGCAGTAATACATAGATCGACGAACTCAGTCTCAACCATGCCTCTCAAGAGGAGCATCCAACCGCTTCCTCTGCAGTACAGAAGCGGCCAGCTCACTTGAAATGCTGGGAGCCAAATCATACTCCAAGTCCTTGGCAGGACAGCTAAAGACGCATGGAGCATCTACATACGGTTGCGGAGCCCATAACGTATACCGGAGTAGCCTTGACGAGTCGAATCCTACCGGGTGCACTACAGCAGCATCCTGTATTGTAACCTATTGGAGTAATTCGAAGCTATCAGTTAATACCTCGGCGTGTTCAGTACACCTCCCTTGAGTGTTGAGAGCGCTTCCAGAATCCAGTTTTACATGTGCAATGCAATTCTGGGAGCGCAAAAGAGGCCTATTGAGGACACCGTCCGAACTGTCAGTCAGACTGCATGTAAATTGCATGAACAGCGCAGGTTGCCCTACAGTCAGCGCGGATCACTGTTCGGGCTTCTGGTTTCCCTTGGATGGCAGCAGCCTTCAGTTGTACGACGCTCTGGCCTCTATACCAAGTACAGTAGCAATACCTTCGGTCTATTGTATTGTTCTTGTTGTTGGAAACCCTAAAATGTCATGTCATCACTCGCAATAGCCACAGCATCCTTGGCAGTCACAAACAGTAAAGTGTGCCCACAGCGGAAGACGCAACGAAGGCAACCGAAGAGCATATCCACGACCGCTTCCACTTCTGAAGAGTAGCTTACCGTCGGGCTCGACAGAAATTAGTACCCCACAACAGGTACGAGAATACACTCCTAAGGGCCGTCTCGCATGGGTGTTCCACTCTGCCGCTAATACATACATCTTCAACCCCAGCGTTAACCGCTGAAATGAGGACGCAGAAAGCCCCGACTCAGCCCAGTCGCCAACAATACACCGGGTCCAGCAACCGCCACTCAACGAGCAAGCATTCACTCGAGAGTATCTACAGGATAGGAGATCACCTCCCAGCCATAAAACGACAGAAACAAATACAAAGCCGCGAGACTGTGAATACTCCGAGCATTTCGCCTTGCACCAAACGCTTGTTGTTGGCAGTTGAAACGAGACCTTCGGAAGACTGAATTAGCGCTTAGGCAGCAAGAGAAGATTATTCAATTAATGGTGGAGGAATACAACATTCTACGATCTAGGTGGGGTGAAAACCTGCAGGCTAGGATGCGTCAAGAGCTTTCAGACTAACAAGACTGGATAACAGCAGGGGTAAAAGAGAATTGTCTTCGTCAACTCGGCAGGTGAGGAAAGGAAATTAATCTGAATCGTTATCAAGCTTGAGGGAAACGCAACGATGAGAGGGCAGCACCCAGGCTCGCAGCTTTGACCATATCGTAACTCTCGCCTCCCATCAGACCTCCAGAAAAGAACAGTCCCACGTCGAACCCTGTACTGCGAGTCCAGTAGTAGAGGGGGTCAACACGGGAGTTGGGAGCTGTTCGCTGATGGACGGTACACCCGAGCCGACAAAGGTAGCAAATCAGTCGAGTACGGAAATAACGATTGATTCATACAGATGCCCCTCATCAACGTTGGAGCCCCGAATGCAAAGGTTGACGTTGACGGAGCGGTCGAGAGGAGCGGTTCTGACGGGATTCTTGGAGTACGGTGGATCTGCCTTCCCACGCGATGAAGATGCTCGTGTATTAGCCCGCCACCACTATGGAAAACGGACATAGTTCAGCAAGGAATAGACATATGGGCGAGCGTGAAGGATCTCAAGAGCGTATCCAAACGCTGAAACCAAGAGGTACAGTGCACTCTACCTCACAGTAGGGAGTCAAGGCTCTCTAGGGGATGACCATTCAACGGGAGCCCTTCCACGATCTACCAGCGCGGTAGACGCTATGCTCGCTACTGCAACTCCTCCACCTCTAACACCGACCGAGCGCGCAAAACCGCTGGGGTCGGGGAAAGGTGACCCTTCCCTCTACTTGCTATTGCTTGATGAAGGATACCCCTCAGGTCCACTGCAAGGGACGATTAAAGGGCAGTGGAAGGCAAGTGTAGCGGTCACGACGACGTCGAACTACGACTATCGACAGGTTACCTCTCACACTGGCCACCTCGTCAGCATCGAACACCTGCAGGACATGTCCCCGCGGACGGCATTGAGGTGATCTCGCTCAGTGTTCTGGCCAGAAGATCCCGCAATTCAGAGAGGCACTTCGCATCAGTTGTGGGTCTATCGAGGCAGCATACAAACGTATGGACTTGAACGGCAACGGCGATCTCTCTTTGCATGAGTTCCACGATGGCCTCGATCGCCTGAAAATACCCTGGCAACTGGTGGAATCTTTCCTCCACGTGCATGTGAACATTTGTCATCAGATTTGCAAAGGAAAGTCCATTCTGCAACTTTTCAAGCTGTTCGATGCTGACGATAGTGGGGACATAGACATCACAGAGCTCGTGGGCCACAAGTACTACGACCACTGACCTTTCACAGTGTTGTCGTTTCATAAACCAACACAGGTATCTACCTCGACCCCAACAGCGAGGCATGACTTTGGAAGATGAATGGGAACGCTACTGCGCTAGGGCAGCTGCAATCATGGCCGATGGGAGACGAGGTGCGTCGTCTTC